GTCGGTTGCGACACCTCTGGAACTTTGTATGACTACAATGGCAAGGCATTCTACGTGGGTTGCAGATCAGGTTGCTTGAACGATACGAAAGTGACGGGGTTATCATGCGACGATGGCCTTGGATGCTAACAGACCACTATACCCAAGGGCATCACTGATTTTCATATATACACAGGAAGCGTTTACTACTTCTCCTACACATGGAATATCAGTAGATGCGGGTATGCCTTTCTGTGYGACAAGGATTTGATGGCCTCACAAGTTTCACGCCTTTGGAGCATGAGAAACGAAATGAAATATCTCGAAAATGTTGGCATCCAAACTCCAATAATACTGGATTGGGCAATTCGAAACAAGACTTGCGAGGACGCAGGAGGAATGGAAGATAATATTGTTTGTGGTACTACTAACAGAATTTGTAGAATATATGGTACTAATAAAATGGTAAAGAGGACTCACCGCCGCCGTCGGTGATTGTATTCGCCGGAGAGTTCACGGTGAGTCGGTGACTGTGGTCTATGAGCTGTGAGCCTGACCTGCGATTTTGACAATGTTCACTTGATCAGTTTGTGTCTAAGAAAGAAAGAGAGAGAGAGAGCTCACCACCGCCGCCGGAGTTGTTGCGCCGGTGAACGTTCGCCGCCTCGCCGGTTGTGGCTGCCTGAGAGTGTGAGGATGAAGGGTTCGGATGTGTTGGATGTGGAGATTGGAGATGAAGGGTTCGGTTGGAAAAAAGAATGGGAAGAGGCAAAGAGGTCTCGAATAGGGTTTTTACTTAGTTTTAAGTTTTAACTATGGGTCGGACCGGGCCGGGCTCGGGCTGGGCTATTTTGACAAATCCCGAGCCCGGCTCGAATTTATTGCGGGCCGGGCTTTTTGGCACGAGGTTAAGCCCGTAGGCCCATATACTTGTTCAAGCCTGTCCGGGGGCCGGGCCGGGTCGGGCCGCCCGGCCCATGAACAGGTCTAGTTAGATCATGTCCACGTGTCCCCCTATTACTAGGTTGGGTCAAATCACCCTACATTAGGAAGCATAAACGATGGCAATCGTAAGGCCTAGCTTGTTTGCTCATTTGCATATTTGCATTAATGCAATTGCATGAGAGTGCAAATTCTGGTCCATTCTTTCTTCTGCTTTTTGTTTTACATTGTTTCAGGTTTTATTTTATTCATTTTACAAACAAAATGAGGTAAGAATTCAACCACAAATAAGTCAAAACTTGCACTTAAATCATTTGTATGTTCTCATGTTTTTGCACCAATGTTAATGAATTTGAATTGCAAAAAAATCAGGCTGCTAAATGTAGGGATGGCAATGGGGCGAGTTCTGGGAGGGTTTTGAAAATTCTAGATCTTCCTTGCCATCTTAAACCTCCCAACTCATACTTGCCCCAAAACCCATTTGGATTTTGAGAATTCGAACATGAAAAATGCAAAACCCTCCCCAACCCTCCCTTCCTCACATTCAAGGTTTGGGGTAGGATGGGTTTAGAACCTATGTCTAATTTTCTATTATTTCTTGTTATATATACAAAAAAATAACAAAAATTCCAATTATTTGATTAAGACATATAAAAGATACAAATTATCAATTATACTTCACGTACAGTTCAAAATATTATTAAATTCAGTACCTAGTACATAAGATTTATATGCTTTTCTAACAATATGTGGGTCGGGAAGGATTACTCAAAGATTGTATCAACTTATCCCGATCAAGAGGATACCAATTAGGTATATTCACATATTCAGGGAAAGCAATCAAGTGGCAAACTGGTTAGATAACTGGTCACTTGAAAAAGGAATTATTTGTTTGCCAAATTGTATCCTCAGAATCTTTACTATGTTCCATGTTTCTATGACAGGACTTGTGGAGATGTGTTAACTATGTTCCATGTTTCTATGACAGGACTTGTGGAGATGTGTTGCAAGCAGTCAGGCTGCTTAACTCAGAATTTTAACTACATCAGACTTAGATTTAGGATTTAAACCCATTAAAAATTTGACAAATTCTCAAGCCAAATTAACTCAAATTGCACCCCTACTTTTTTTTTTCTATCCACCAAAAGTAAAATAAATAAATAAATAAAATAAAGTGGGCATAAAGAAAAGAAGTTTCTTTATTGCCTTATAATTGGGAAGGTGGAACCGTGGAAAACTCTATTCACAAGGAAAGAACAAAAGAAGTAGCTTACAACAAATAGAAGACTGAGTTGGAATCATGTATATATGATACCACTCAATTTAGCAATGATTTATCCTAATATTAGAATAGAATTTCTCCTATATATGACTACGATTATAGGTATCATCAAAAGCTACCAATCACATACCAATAGCCCATCTTGTAATTGGTTTGAGATTGCTGGTTTACAAGAGTAGCCTAAACTGTGGTCTAACCAAGTCTGGATTTGTTAATTTGCTGTTCAAATTTCATTTGCACTAGTGTAACTGTCTGGCTGTGGCATGTGCTGATTGTAATTTCTGCTTTGCTTTTTCTTTTGATATATATTTGATTTTGTTTTTGTTGGTTGGACGTAAAATGATGTGATTCCCCGAGAGAAAATTAAGATGGGAGGAAGATGGTACACGTTTCACATTAGCTTTTTAGGTTCAGTTTGGAAGGAGTGCAAATACGAATATGTAGGTGTAAAACCTTATATTTTGTATTATTTTGTATGTATTTACATTGTATATATTTGCATTTGTACAGTATAAATATATAAATATATACAAAATAATAGAAAGTGTAAGATTTTGCACTCTACATGCAATTTCATATTTGATGAGTAATGGGATTTGATGTCAAATGGGGCTGCATATTCCATTGACATGCCTAATGCGAACTCTAAGCTTGTGGGAACAGATCAGGTGTGTAAGGTGAGACATCTTTAGCTGATTGCTTGAAGTAGGAGTGAGCATCCGGTTTATTCGGTTAAAAACTTAACTGAACCGAATAAATTGAATTTTTAAAAACCAAAATAAAAAATAAAAACGAACCAAATTACAAGAAAGTCAAAATTTTCGGTTTTGGTTTTTAGTTATTTCGGTTAAAAACCGAATTTAATTAATATATAAAATATTATATATTATAACCTATAATATATATTATGAAATTGAATTTCATTATAATACACTATATAATATATTAATATATAAATGTATAGAATATTATATATTATATAATGAATTTCAATTAATTCGGTTTTTTCGATTAACCGAATTTCTAACTCTAAAAACTGAAACCAAAAATTGAAATTCCTAAAAATCAAACTAACCAAACTGAATTATTCAAAAACTAAAAAAAAAAAACCAAACCTAAAAAACCAAAACCAAAATTTTCAATTCAATAATTTGGTTTTAAAAGAGTAATGTTCACCCCTAGAATCTAGATTAAAGGAAGGATAAAGTAACAAAAAAACAGCACATTGTCTTCCACTTTGAACAGTGTGGGTTTGATTGTTTGAACAAAAGAGAATATTTTCATCGAGTACACATCAAATTTTATGAAATCATCAAAAGTGGTCACTTAAATTCCAACCACTACTAGTGTGGGTTTTAGATAAACTTGTAAAACAGACAGATGTCCTTTTTTTTCATAAAAGGAAGCTTTCTTTCAAGCTTTTTAGAAAAAGATTTTCATAAGAAATTGATAGTGGATAAAAGCTGGTTAGAATCTGGAAGCAAAAGGCGTGAATACACGTCAAAACAAGAATTACAATAATTTCCTAGTAGAGTACTAGGAAACTTCTAGTGCTTTTAAAAGCTCCCTACATGGAGGCCCACGCCACTAATCCATCCATCCTCCTCCTTTCCCCACTGTCAGACAAACCCACTGCAATTTCTCTAATTTGTTTTTCTTCTAAACTAATACAAAGAACCCCTCCATGATTCTTGAGCAGGTTGATTTTATTACTTTAATTTTTATCTTTTTTTTTTTTAAACTAATACAAAGAACCCCTCCATGATTCTTGAGCAGGTTGATTTTATTACTTTAATTTTTATCTTTTTTTTTTTTAAACTAATACAAAGAACCCGTGTCAAGATTTTCTGATTTTCCAAGTGAATACCCACAAAGCCACAATGAATTATTTACTATTATTGCTCTCATTTGATCAATCCACTGTTGACCTTGTGAAGTTTGGAGAGTTGGGTGATCACCAAGTTTGAGACACTTGACATGATTGGAATTTAAGTTTGGAGCTTGGAAGGGCTGTTGGAAAGTTAGGTAATGGCCAGTGGAAGGCTGTCCCAATCGAGAAAACGGATTCAGTCAGTGCAAGGCCGTTCAAATAGCCATTATAGCCTTGCATTGGGAATATCTCCCATGAGAAATATCGAGATGTTCTCAATGCAAGGCTGTAAAGGCTGTTCGAACACCCGTTCGAACGGTTTTTGCACACCCATGATAGAGATCCCACATGTAGAAATTCCAATCAAACGGTTTTTGGTTTTTTGCTTCAATGAGGCCAGCTCTCAGCACTGTCCATCCATGGAGGATGACGAATCCATGACGCTACTTGGAGAAATGATAAACATCTATTATCAAATAAGATTCCTTTGTGACTTTGTCAGTTTTCTGTGAGTGCTTTTCACTGGGAGCCCAGCATACGTTCTGTTTTAGTTTTTTATGGATTGAGATGGAATAATGCAAACTTCCGATCAGAAAAAAAAAATGGAAACATGGACAGCACCGACATCTGTTGATCATGAACAACAATTTCAACATGGTTGGTATGTATTCTAGCTATCTCTCAGGCCCGTCTCCTATCCTGATCGGCAGTCTCTGTCTCTATCTTCAATCCTTCAACCAGAAACGAGCGACAAATAAATCATCAAAGGGTTATGTACGTCTCTGTTGCTTGCTTAATTAGCCATGTCACAGTTGATTCTGGTTTTCTTTCTGCTCCTCCATCTGAGCCATGCATCTTCAGATGTCCCTGATGATTTCATCTTCTATGGATACAATAAAAGTTCCATGGAGCTTGGTGATGAAGCAAAGGTCGGACCCAATGGCCTTATCCAGCTTACAGGTGGTGAAGATGGACGTCTGCAACAGTTTGGTCATGTCTTCTACTCCCATCCTCTGCAATTCAAGAACAGCTCAACTGGTAGTGTTCTCTCCTTCTCCACTTCTTTTGTCTTTGCAATAATCTCGCAGAATCAGAACTCAAGGGGCCATGGGATTGCCTTCGTCATCTCACCCACTAAGGATCTCTTTAGAGCCCTACCCAGTGATTATCTTGGGTTATTCGACAGGTCCAGCGATGGAGATCCTTCCAATCATATTGTTGCGATTGAAATGGACACTGTGAAGAGCCAAGAGTTCAGCGATATCGATGACAACCACGTTGGGATCGATATTAATGGCTTAAAATCTGTCAGTTCCACTACAGCAGGTTACTACACAGGCAGAAAATCCACTCTGTTCAGGAATCTAGACCTCGCAAAAGGAGACCCAATTCAAGTATGGGTGGATTACAGCGGATTGAGAAAACAACTGAATGTCACATTAGCCCCACTGCGCACACCAAAACCTCTTCGCCCTCTCTTGTCCTTGACACGAGATCTTTCTCATCTCATCTTGCAGAGTATGTATGTGGGTTTCTCATCATCAACGGGCTCTAGCGAATCAACTCACGACATAATAGCTTGGAGCTTTAAGATGAATGGGGAAGTTCAACCTTTTGAAATCAAAAAGCTTCCCAAGATCAGGACAGATGGACATGGAAAGAGAGATCAAAGAAGGCAGACGTCAGAGGCTCTTGTGGTTTTGTTGTCTGTAGCTGCAACTATCTTTGCGTTAGCAATCATCTTGGCCATAGTTTTGATTCTGCGAAGGAATATACAGTTCAGGGAAGTAGTAGAAGATTGGGAAATCCAGTATGGACCTCACAGATTCAAATACAGGGATCTGTTTGTTGCCACCAAGGGATTCAAAGACAGGGAGCTTCTAGGGAGAGGAGGTTTCGGACAGGTCTATCGAGGGGTGTTACCCAAAACAAAGATCCCAGTAGCAGTGAAGAGAATTTCTCACGATTCCAGACAAGGACTGAGAGAGTTCGTCGCAGAGATCGCCACCATCGGCAGGCTGAGGCACCCAAATTTAGTTCGATTACTTGGGTATTGCAGGCGGAAGGGAGAGCTCCTACTGGTTTACGATTTCATGCCCAACGGCAGCCTCAACAAGTTCCTTTTCGATCAACCCGAATTGACACTTGACTGGGCACAGAGGTTTAAGATCATCAAGGATGTAGCTTCTTCTCTGTTTTATCTGCACCATGAGTGGGTACAGGTGGTGGTTCACAGAGATATTAAGGCGAGCAATGTCTTACTAGACAGTGAAATGAACGGAAGATTGGGAGACTTCGGCCTTGCCAAATGGTACGACCATGGAGCTACCCTTCAGACTTCCTACCTAGCGGGAACTCCTGGTTATATTGCACCAGAGCTTGCTAGAACTGGGAAAGCCAGCACAAGCTCCGACTTGTTTGCATTTGGGACGTTTCTGCTCGAGGTGGTCTGTGGCAGAAGACCGGTGGAGCCAGGGGCAGAGCCAGGGGAGGTACTCCTGGTGGACTGGGTGGCGGATTGTTGGGATAGAGGAGCCCTTCTGGAGACTGTGGACCCTAAACTAGGGATGGATTATGTGGCGGAAGAAGCCGAGTTGGTGTTGAAGCTGGCTCTGCTTTGCTCACACCCGGTGGCCGGAGCTCGGCCGAGCATGCTGTGTGTGGTGCAACTTTTGGAAGGTGACGCTTCCTTGGTGGAGGAGTTAAATGCCAATGTTCTGGGTATGGCAGAGCAGCAAATGGCAGGTAGCCATGAGAAGGTTTCTTTGTCTGCCTCTTATTTGTCCCAGAAAGATTCAGTGTCCTCTCTAACAATGACAGAGGAATTAATTGCTGATGGACGTTGAGTGATACTTGGGTGTGGCTGATTAGTGGAATTGAGTGGTTAATTCAGAGTATTGATGAATTGTAATTAAGTGTGAATGGTAGTATAGACAGTGATTGGAACTTGGAAGGTAGATGGTGATTACACTTCTTGGAACTTGTTCTGAGGGAATTTCTACAACAATTAACAAAGAATAAAATCAGCAGAGCAGATGTGGATTCATTTGCTCTTGCAAGATTTGATGGGAATCTCTTAATCAATGGGAAGATTTTGAGGGATCTAGACCCAACTTGGATAGCCAAAATGTAGAGGATTTGTCTCAAACTTGTTCCTCATTTTGTTCGAGGAATAGAGCTTTCCATGCCACTTTTTCCCCAACATGTGAAAATCAGTTTTTCTGTCATTCATTCATTAGGGGGTATTAGTCAATGTGAATGATTTTGTTTATAAAACTAAAGAACAATTGCCATGTCAAAAACATATTGATTTTGGCTTTTTGTAGACAACTAGACATGACAATTGTTTTTTGTTTTAGAAAATACAAGCATGGGGGTTTTTATTGTTCAGTCCACCCCAATAAATCTTAGGTGGGGGTATTTGAAATTTTGAATTGTTCCAATTTGCCAGTAGAATTTAGAATTTTGAGGTGAATGTTTTTACTAAAACCATTAATGTTGGCAAAATGGTTTTATTGTCGTGGGAAACAAAACCTTGCATATTGTCAAACAACCCCTAGGATGGAAAAATCAGAAAATGCATGAGAACATAGGGTTGGAATGTATTTTGTTGGCAAAAGATCCCAACTCACATTGACAAGACTTCCTTATGAATGACAAAATACAAATACAAGATGTTTTCAATGTACGGCTATAGTGTCCCATTGGTGAGACCGGATCTGCTCCTCACAAGCACATTCTATCATGCATTGGTTCCGTACTTATTAGTTATTATTCACGGAAGATGTTTCCAATGCACGGTGATGTACCTGTGAGGTACTCATTCGTGAGGAGCAGATCCCATCACCCTATTGGTAGGTTTGGACATGATTATTATGAGTAGGAAATCTGAACACTTCCACAGAATAATCTTACATTACAAGCCTCCTATTTATTTAGGAGTTTGGATCGGAGACCGGATCTACTCCTCACATCTTGGGCTTCACTGGCGCCTCACACGCACATCCTACCATGAATTGGGAACATCTTCCGTACTTATTAGTGAATATTCACGGGAGATGTTCCCAATGAATGGTGGATGTGCCAAAGTGATACCCATGTGGGATCACAGGATTGTTGGTCAATGAGATCAAATTTCCCATTATGCAACTCCCCACTTTCCCTTACAAGTTACCGAAAGTTGATTTGTTATACACAAGACGTTACCCACACTGCTTCCAACATCATCTACAGCCACACATCTCAAACATGTTTTGTAATTGTATATCGTCATTGAAGACAAGTACAACCATGGATCATGTTGGAAGCTGTGTAGGTAGCGTCTACTGCTGGGTAGTAGATTTAGACTCCTAACTCTCAATTTCTCAATCTCAAGGTTATAGACTTTTATTTGAACTACTATTTTATTTTTATTGGTGGTGGTTGTTGCACTCCATGGCGATCCCCAAATGAAATATTTACACACCAACAATGCAAATAAATTCAAAATATTACATTAACTACTTTTTATTTTTCATGGATGTTGTGTCGATGAGAAAGTCCATAGATCATTAGACCACGGCCGCAGTAGGTGTGCTCTTAAAATTGTGACCGAAGAAGACACCATCGCCATCGCCAAGCATTCAATTAATTAAGGGTGTTGATGGACCGGTTTTGGATTGGACCCTATCTAGTTTAAAATCAATTTGGATGTATAGGATGGACTGATAAGACATATTGAATTTGATCAATTTAATCCAAAATATTTATTAGATTGGATTGGACCTGATCCATTTATAATGGACTTATATTGTACTGAATTGGATTGAATTGACATCCCTACATTTAAAATGGCTTAAAAGAGAACCTGAACTTTCTAATAGTTGTGGTCTGTCTCCTTTCCTGTTTCTCTTTTTGTTTCTTTTCGTATGTAAGCTGCAGAAATATCCAAACCAAGTCGTGAGTGAGCCATTAAATCAAACAACAAACTAGTAGAACTTCAAGTCTTCGAAATTGACTTGGGTGATTTTCATTCTCTGTCCATCTTAGATAATCCTCATTAGTTAGCCAATTGGATGGTAGAACATGCATGCAATCTATTGGATTTGTGGGCTAAAAAATCACCACTACAAAGATAGATGGTGAATCAACTTGGACAATTCTCTTGCCCATTCTGCGGCTAGATGACTCCACTCTCAACCCTAGCCCAAACTAAGTTTAGGTCAGGAATGAGTTTTCTGATTTAAGCCCAAAAATTCAGGCCTACCCTGTACAAAAGCTAATGTTTTGGGCTCAGATTGTTCTCCACCTCTAACAACAACCACAGATACGTTAGATTTTGGACTTGTTTAGGAGAGTTGAAGGAGAAGCTATTAAGGCTATGTTTGATTTGAAGAAAAAAGTAGAAAAAGGAAGAGAAATGTAAAAAAATCTTTACAAACTTTGTATAAATTTCTCTACCTTTCCGTACTTTTTTCCTTCAAACCAAACACAGAAAACTTCATAGAAAAGTCAATTTTTTTGATTGACATACAACTAATAATTTGAGCTATAGTTATATAGCATGTGTAAAATATTTATATAATCAATCATGAGTAAACACATTATTGTACAAGACTCCTACTTTGGCTTTGTTCAAAATATAAAGATTGGATCATTTGCCTCAAGAAAAAAAAATAGAAGAAATGATAAATTAAATCAAGTCATATCACCATTAATTTACGTATATATATATATATATATATATATATATATATTATATAACAATAAGTTGGTTTTAGTATTAACAGGAGGTAAGGCATTGCCCTTACATGACCGACTTTGTGCCTTTGCAACCAATAATGCAGCAGCTCACTTAGAAATTAATTATACTCCCTGCAAAGCTGATGAATGACCATCTCAATTAATGGAGTTATGACCAAATAATTCATTAGGAAGGCAGCACTGAAACTTCTATGTATCCTACTTGATTAGAAATCCTTTTTCTTTTTCTTTTTTTTTCCACATGCTTTTAGTAAAACACTTTATAATGCATCAAAGTAATTTCTGGTTTTTATTTATCAAGGTTAGAAGAAACTTCAACGAGCATAAACAAGTTGAAAATTTGGGTAAATTATAGACTGCCACTTCTACTTAAGGCTTAGTTTGGAAAGATTATAAATAGTATAGTATTGGAGAAAATAGATAGAAAATAATACAAAATACAAGGTTTGCACTCTATATATTTATATTTGTACTCCTTCCAAACTGAGTTTAAGGGTGGTGATCATGGTTTTTAAAACCGATCCGGAGATCGACTCAGTTAGGGGCCTGGTTATCAGGTCAAACAGTCGGCCCGTTTTGACAAAAAAATAAAAAAAAATTAAAAAATAAAAAACAGTCAAAACCGTTTGAATGATTAACTGCCCGGGTCAGTGGTTTGTTAATTAAAATCAATGGTTTTTGAAGAAAATCCAATTTTGGGGAAAACCGAAACCAATTACCTAACCGGTTCTAGGTTTTTCTGGTCCGATCCAGTTTTGAAAACCATGATGGTGACATTTAGATTTAGGCTGCATATAGCATTCCTTATTTTAAGGATTCATCTCCTTTTCACAGTTAAAAACTCAATCTTGATAGTAAAGATGATATTACTAAATTATCCATTCAAAATTCAATGGACCGAGAGAGAAAAAGCCATCAAAATGACCAAAATGGACAGGTAAAAGTACACCATCTCTTTTGAATTGGGTTATTGTGCTTCCAATTCAAAAGAGATATTGTGCTCCATTTACACAATTTTTATGTCATTATTTTATCTTCACCATCAACCCCATTAGTTTGAAAAAGGGGGGCATAGTACTCTAATTCGTAAGTTCAGGGATGTCTTTCTCGCAAAAACAAAATTCGAAAGAGTATCACCACCCTCTAAGGCGGCAATCTGAATTTACCCAAATTATTTAGGGAGAATGACCGATACCCCTAGTGTCAGAATTTGTAGGTTCAATGTATGGTTGGGATAGGTGCCAGCTCAGAATTGATGCTAATTCACCGGCGGGTGTGGGTGCATAAAGTATCGGTATCGATCCATTTGAATGTTTATAGCCCTATATTGTAAATCAGAAATCTGCATTAGACAAATCCATACTATTCCAAATTATTTAATTGGATAAACAAACGCTTGGACTAATTTATTTAAGGTTAATTAAAACAAAATGTATCGATCCTGAATCCTAATGGAAAATTTTGATTAATATCTTGTTTATATAGAATAGTTTATTAATTAATTTTTGAGGGAACACTCTAAGCAAAACCTATTATAAAATGATCCTTCATTGAGAGAGATATGGGTCCAGGATTTTCTTCAGTGGCAAAAACAGCTTCGAATCTGCCGTCAACACAAGTGTGCAAATCTAGCTGCATGACCAATTATAAGTGGACACGCTAGTGTACCATACAGTTTGCACACCTGTATTTTTACTAGATCTATTCTCGACAAAAAATGTTTGGGTCAAATAAGAGTACCACATCACCCTCTTAACCAAGGTTTTTAAAACTGACCCGGAGATCGAACCGGTCAGGGGTCCGGTTCTCAGGTCGAACAATTTGACTGTTTGAACCGAATGGTCAGCCCATTCTAAAAAAAAAGGTCAAAACTGTTGAATAGTTCGAATGGTTCAACTGCTCGGATCAGCTGTTTGCTGACTAAATGAATGGTTTTATGGAAAAATCCAATTTTGAGGAAAAATGGAACTAGTCACTTGACCAATTCTCGGTTTTTTCGGTCCAACCATCCAATTCGGTCCAGTTTTGAAAATCATGATCTTAATACCCCTTTTTCGTTTCTATTTAAAACCTCTTGCCACGTGGCATAACTAAACATTTTTTGATGCATTACTCAATGTTGGTCTCAGCTATATCTGGGTCAGAAATGGTCTAAACCTTTGGCATTTTCCCCATACAGGGTGGCGTTTTCCGCACTTCAATCTATGTTTTCATGCTTGTAACAATTTAGCTTTGTAACAAGCTGTGGAGCCAAACACAACTCTCCATGCCATGATAAAATACATGGCCCATTATGGGCCCAGGGGAATATAAGAAATCCAAACTCATCTTATAAATTAATCTATGAAAACCTCGTATAAGGTCCACTGTCCAATGGTGGATTCTTATTTGTGACAATGGTAGGTAATAGTTGCCAATGATCCAGTTGCCAACGACATGAGATCTTCAAGGCTTGTGGAC